GAAGGCAGTGCTAAATAACAGCGCAACAGAAGTAACTGTGATGATCCTAATAACATCTATCATATGTCAAACCAACTGGTTCCAAGAGCCTAATCATCACACATTTTCCTAGCTGCTAGTGCATTTTCATTGTTCTGCTTATAGTTTCATAGATCATTCCTAGAGCAAAGGGAAATGGACGAAACTAGATCGTCTTGTATGTACATTAACAACTATATTTGAAATCAAGATCAAATATAAGTAGCTTCAGTGATTAAATTTCAGGCACATGCATAGTGTTCAAACTTAAGCTTAAGATCCCATTCGCAATGTATTTTAACCAGTAATCAAAATTGTTAAAACAAACCTTTCTGAAATGTGCCCAGTAGATCAAGAAATGACCAAATCTAACTCTCGGTTTGCTCCCTCAGCCTACGGATGGCACTCCTGACAGTAACGGCACTAGCGGTACTGCAAGTAGAAAACGTATGTTAGTTTGTTAGATGTTAATAGGGAATTATGAAATGCAATCACCACGAACGTAAATAACTCAAGAATCTACTTACTTCAACATATAAGCTCCGCCTGCTTTCACTTTGCCACAATCTTTGCAACCTCAGATTCCAACAGCCTTCCTTTTCACTGCATATTGCAAGTGTATGCCCAAAAAATGTTTTAGAAAAAATCAATGTTTGTTAAATCATATTTACATACTCACACACACAATAATGTACCTTTCCACAAAATTCACAGAAATATTTGCTGTGCTGACTGACTTCCATCTTCTTGATCTGCTTCCTCAAACTGGCACCATAACGTGTCCCTGAAGTCCAATAATTAAAGTATTAGAAACTACACGAAAAACCTTATTAGAGGTGTTTGATCTTGCCTTAATGGACTTATAACTTATCTCATTGAGTTATACAGTAATCCATTCAGCAAAATCATCTTTTTCTAGCTTCTTTGGCCAAATAGTTTATTGTTGTTTTACTATTATGTTGTTCACATTTTTTAAATTTGATCTATGTTGTTGAGTTATATATATTGTTTAGAGAAAATAAATTTCAATATGTTTTTGAGGGCTAATA